CCCCCCCCCCCCTTACAGACCGTGACAGAGAATCCCGGGTATCTATCACAGACCGTGACAGAGAACTCCGGTGCCTATCACAGACCGTGACAGAGAATCCGGAGTACCCATCACAGACCGTGACAGAAAAGCTGCAGTTGTAAAGGATCAGATAAACGGTTAACCAAGGGGGAAACAGCGGACTTCAAGACTTCAAGACTTCAAAAGACTTCAAGAGACTTCAACGGACTTCAGCCGCAGTGACTTCATATTTTCACAAGACTTCAAAAGACTTCAAAAGACTTCATAGGACTTCAAATGACTTCACAAGACTTCACAAGACTTCAAAAGACTTCAAAAGACTTATGAAGACTTCATTGGATTTCAAAAGACTTCATGAGACTTCACAGACTTCTTGAGACTTCACGGACTTCATGAGACTTCAAAAGACTTTATGAGAATTCATAAGACTTCATTAGACTTCATAAGACTTCATAAGACTTCATAAGACTTCACAAGACTTCATAAGACTTCACAAAACTTCATCGGACTTCACAAGACTTCGTAAGATTTCAAAAGACTTCAAAAGACTTCACAAGACTTCAAGAGGCAGATTCCGTACGTATCAAAAAAACTTATAGAAATTAAATGAAACCTCTATAACATGCAGAAAAGCTTATCATTAAGTAAGGGTGTCATTTGCCATGTACTTTATAATAAATACAAATTACTTATCATTTAATTTACGCGTAAATTAAATGAAAAGTAAATATAAACTGACACTCTCATTCATAACGAAGTGACTAGCGTCTTCCGAGCACTAGGAACAGAATGATATTGATAAAATCAACGTTGAAAATATTATTTTAGCTGCATTTAACCGTGCAAAAGAACTAGTTAATAATTTGAATATATTACCTTCATTAAAGGAATGCAATGCTTGTGAACTTAATGGTTTAAGTAAAAATATATCTGATTGTATTAGATTCAACATTAATTCAGATAATTATTTAGCAACGGATTCAGATTCTTCATCAGATTCTGAATCTGATTATGATGATGAAGCAATGGAAAGTCATGAATTTTATAGTGATCTAATCAATGTGGATGAAGAAGATAAAGATGCGGCAATGACAC